AAGCCCATCACCGGTGTCATTTCAAGTTGGCGCATGCGGCCGGTCTGAAGCTGTGTCGGCTTCCAGAACGGATGTTCCTCACCCACGTGCAGTTTGGACAGCACCACCATGTGTTCCTCGAGCTTGCCCACGTCACTGAACCGCGAAGTGGAGAACAGTGACTCGGCCTTTCCTTCGCCGAAACCACTCAGAAATTGCTCGAGATTCTGTCACTAACTTGTCGGTGCTTGATTAGATGGATGGCCCACAGCCTTTCGCCTTTTCAGAGATGTTGTCTTCAGTCAAGCACGCATGCAAGATGATACCAGCAGGCTCCTCAGGCAATGCTTCGGCTGGCACGGCCAAGGAGACCTTGTCCATGCCAGGTGCCAGGAGGCCATGCTACCAGTAACCTTCCGCTTCGTTACTGTACCTCAGCAACGAGATGAACCGCAAAGAAATCAGATCTTCGAAGCTACGCTCAGGCACGACCCGATGCCATCCATACATGTCCAAGCCACACGTCGTGGAAGACTTCGAAATGGACCAACTCGGCAGTGTATTCACGTAGCCTTTCTGTGGCTATGCCGTGGCTTTGATCCGTTCAGACGAGCATGCTTGGATCGATGGCCTATGCCCTGTGCCTGCAAGTCCTCCGACTCTGATCGGGCCATGCTCCCGTAAGTTTACATAAACTTCCAAGTAGCATGATGAGGGCATCGACTGTGTCTGCCTGGGATCGCCTTGCTAGGAGCTCTTCCCGATGAGCATCGCACGCACGCTGGTGTGCACGTCCTTGGATACCAGCTTGGCCCTGCTATCCCTGCTTGTCAGTACTTCTGTCAAGTAGAGAGATAGCATGGAAAAAAAGGTGCCCTCCGCAGATCACTGAGGTGGCCTTGTCAGGAGTGCAAAAAGCAATCTATCAACTTTTTGCCACTGCGACGATGGCTTCGGATGTCGACAATGTCTCGGACTGCAAGGCTGTGGAGCGTCACGAAGTCCCGAGCAGCTTCAGATGATGGAGAACCCTCTCGGATGCTGACGATGACTCGTACCCCGGGCGGCACGACCAGACTCCAGAAATCCACCCTCATGTGTTGTCTGGCACCGTCGCCCCCAATCCGTGTTGCAGAGAAACGTGCTCGCGGCGCAGCAAGAAGATCGTCCCACTCCCAGGCTACCTGAAGGCTGTGGAGGCCCCAGCCTCGGCCCTTCCTCCGATCCCCACTTCAATGCTGCTGTGAGGCTGTGGGGTAGCCGCAAAGATGGCCTGGTCCCATGAACCAGCAGGCCGTCTCCGCCAAGCGCACGGCCACCTGAAGCGCCACATCCTCGAGATCCTCCAAGCGCAGCGGGCGCGGTTCGAGACGTGCTGCTGTTAAAATCTGTACTGGGAGGGAGTCCTTCATCGAACAAAGATCACTGACCAGATTCCCATTTTCGTCTTCAAGCCCTGCCAGCTGCAACAACCTTGGCTGCAAGGCGACTTTGCACGCCTCTTTAGGAAGATGCGGGCTGCATGGAATGTCGGTGTTCAAACCGAAGGCATCCAGGTGTTTGCTGAAAAGCGGGTGGACGTTCCGGGCCACGGCGGTCAACGGCTCTCCAGAAATTTGCTCGAGCTCTGTCACAACTTGGCCATCAGCCGTCAAGACGCAGCAGCTCCTGGACTTGAGCTTTGCCTGAACCTGTGCCGGGAGCAGACTGTTCCATGCTGCTGAATCAGAGCTGAATACTTTGAAACTGCAGATGTTACTTGAACCTCAACACCACGAAAACTGATCTTGCTGCTTACTACCTTTCGTACCAATGCTTCTGGAATATCCGACCGATACTACGAGCACTCCCAAAACACTGTGGCAACCGTGTGCGGTTCGTGTGTTCCGATAGGGGGCAGTGACTGAGGTGAGCATTCGACGAGCACAAGCGAGCACCCGGCGTCCGCCGTGGTTCCGTGTGGACGTAAACTTCATGTTCGATTTCCATGTCTGGGGCAAGACGAGGTGGAACTCCAATCTGCATGTCCCGGCAACTGCTCGTCCGAGTTCGCGAGCTGAAACGCAATTTTGGCTCCCTGTTCTGCTACGAGCTAAGGTGGAAGGGCCACTGCAATTTCCATGCTTCGCGGGTGGGCATGCCCCAAGTCGAGCGAGCACTGTCACTATCATCTCCCTACAGGTTTCATCTGCAGCTTCTCTATAGACTCTATGAATCATGAAAACAAGAGAAGAGCTCCGCCTGTTGGTTGAGGTCCTGTATTGATGACACAGCCATTGTCTCCAACAGCGTGCTGCCATTGATGCCGATGACAGTCACAGAGCTGAGCATGTGCTGTGCTTGATGTGCTCGGCCGGAACTTGGCTGATTCTGTCACCACAGGCCGGCATCTTCAGCTGCCCGCGCGAACTCTAGAGAGTCGGATCTACCATGACTAGGCTCGCTGAGTGCTCTTGCTGACATGTCCCACAACCTCCCACTACCTTTCCGGATGTGCAACATCTGATCTGCGAACAACGCACCTGACTCAGTCTGCTTGCTGCTTGTGGGCATCATGTTCTTGCTTCAAGCGCTGCTGGCGAAATCCCAACCGCGTACGCGAGCATTCAACATTGCAGCTTTACCGAAGCTCATCCCACGAAGACCGCCAACAGAAGCCACAATTACTTCCGCTTTCTGATAGCGTCTTAGGCCCAGACTCCAGAGCCTACAGAGACTGCCAACAGCTTGCCTCAGAACTCTGACGTCTAAAGGCCAAGGCAGCAACCAAAGCACTCCGGCAACATTCCGGCCCAGCGGCCGAAGCGCGGCTTGCGGAAGACGTCGCCGTGGACTAGTTTCCAGCCAGTCTCCTGCAGCTGAGCTTAGACTAATGTTGGGAGGGACAGCTTCATGTGCGTGGCAGTCCTCTGCTGCTTCCTCAGCAGTGGCTAATTCGTTGTACTTGGTGATGTCACCTGAGCTGGGCATACAACAACGCTTCAAACATTCACTCCGGTCGCCCAACTAAGTCTGAAGGTTCTGGCATTCTTCGGAAAGTTAACCGTACATTGATGTGCTACCACGGCTTTGCAGAGACAGCTTTTCTCAGTGCTACCGAGGATCGATAAAGAGTTCGAAGCAAAATCATGGCGACCTTAGTAAGCTGCACCAAGCCCAGGCTTTTCTGCAGTGCAAAGGCGCTTGGACACTGGCCATGCCCGAAAGGAAGAGCATGATCATGAGGGAGTTCCTTCTCGCAACGAGCACTGGAAGCATGAAACCTCCCTGATCTCTCCGTACATGTTATCGACGATTGAATGACCTGTTATGCCATCAAGAAGCAGGATCGAGAACCAGTGAATCTGGCCCCCAGTCCTGAAGTTTGGCACAGGGACGCGAGACTCCGAGACATCCAGAGTCTGCCGGTCTCAGCTGTCAAAGCTTCGAGACGGTACAAGTTATAAGCGTTCTCTCATGGGCCCGCGCATCTTCAAGTAGTTGTCCCATCTGGACACCCACCGAACGTCGCCTAACCACGAGGTCAATTGAATTCTCATGCCGACCGGGCCTTCCAACTGTCCTAGCGGTTTCTGAGCGGAGCACTGTACTCCCAAGTTACGTCGTATGAGAAGATGACTTCCTTGCTGAGGAGTCTGGAGAGAACACTCGGGCAGGCGTGAAGCGAAAAGCTGCAACAGGGGCATTGAACATGTCGAGCTCCATGAGCTGGGCATCGGCTCCCTCCTGCTCGGCTCGCTTGCAGTGCTAGCGCTGCTAGCAGCATGCAAATGTCACAGACAACACCAGGCCTGACAAACGGCCTTCAGGCCTCCAGGCTTGGAGGGATCCGCTTGTGTCGCCTGCAGCCAGCGATTCTCAGTCTCTTGCATCTGTTGCATCTGGCACGTCTTCCCCACCTGGACGACGCTCCTTGGCTCAATCTCGAAGCCGACAATCCGGTGACCCTCATAGGTGTCACCTGCACGAGCTCAAAGCAATGGCAAGACCTCGGCGCTGCCACAGTGCGTAAGCCGGAGGCTCGAATGGTACTTGAGATCCAACTTCAAGTGGTTGTAGAGGTAGTACCTGAACGAGTTACACATTCTGATGGCAAACGCTTGCCTGTCTTGTGCACCACAAACCTGCTTATTGGGACTCGACTGTCACGGTTCTTGCAAGTGACAAGCTTCCTCACATCGTGCAGGTGGCAGCGTTGATCGCTGCTGCCTTGCAATGACAACCAAGCGCGCACTTGCCATCCTTCTGAACACCGATCGGAAAACCGTTCATGTACCTGCAAAGCTTAGAGGGTGTCCGGCTCCGAACAAGCTCACAATAGCAAGCGTCTTCTACCAGCTTTTTGACAAACCCTTCCACGCCACCCACAACGTCTAGGTTGTCCTCGAACTCAATCGTCTTTGTGGGGGAGGTGAAGTCTGCGTAGGATGAACGCAGCTCAGGGCGTGAAACAGAGAAGGCACGCGTCAGTCCCTCAACAAGGTCAGCATGCAACTGACCAGAAGTCTGGACTTCGGCAAGGTATGCCCATCTATCTCATCTTACATATGGCTGGCAACTTGACCTTGCCGAGGGGCGTGCTGTGCATTAACATCTCCAGCCAACTGGCAGTGTCGGGAGGCGGGAGGTCGTGCCGATGAGTGCCGGCTCCAGCCCCCACGGAATTCTGAGATTCTGTGTCCGGTCCGCTGTTTCACAGCGGACCTTCGCAGACCAGGAGGGGCTTGTGGAGAGCGCGAGTCATGAGTCAATCTGAACCCAGGAGCCTGCATCTTGCACGTTCTTTCGTGTTCTGGCATCTTGAAGGGCGATTGCTAAGTCAGGGCTTGGCTTTGGTGTGCTTTGCCGGTGTGTCTTCGGCCACAAACATCCCCAGTCTGCGTGGTTCTACGAGTCCATCAGCGACAAGCAGAATGTACAGGGCTTCTGAGAAGAAGCATCTGGCCGTGGCCTATTCTGTCTTGCCTGTCGCTGACACTATAGTCCGACATGGCATGAGCCTGCCGGTTGTCGGCTGCGAATCAACCGTCCACGTCTCCATTAACATGACCAGCTATCTGCGACTTGATATCCCGTAGCCGTGCATCAATGCGCCTCGGACACAGGGTCGGCACCAGAACAACAAGAAGCGGCAATGCTGCTTGCTGCTCGGAGGCTTCATCCGACGCTTCGTTTTCTGGGCTTCCTTCTTGACATCGTAAACCTCAACCAGATGAGCGACTCAGAATGCGAGATGTTTGGTTGTCCGCAAATGTCCGCAGTACAATATCCAAGTCACCGGTTTTTGGTCAAGGACTCTGACTCTCAGTACAGCTTGACGTGTGACCGTCATGATTGGCTTGACTTCAGTGCAGTCTCTCCACTCTCGCATACACCAGGCAAACCCTTCTTTCCGATCTACGACTTCGCTCATAGCTGATTCAAGCAGCAATGCCCTTGACGTCGATTGCCTTGGCCGGGCCCTTCATTGTCAAGAGCCCTGTTGTGAACTCCTACCAGCGGCTCTTGTGTGGGTCAGAAACGCAAGCATACATTCTGACAACAGCTCCTCCAGGGTCACTGAGCCATCCTGGGAGAAGCTTCGAGGCAGCCAGAATGTCAAGTTGGAGCTGCTTGGGGCCTCTCTGCAAGAACACAAGCAGTCCTTGTTGGAGTCGATGAGGCGGAAGATCTGGGAGCGGTCGGGTCTTTCAGAGACTGGGCATAGCTTGACGACTGAAACTAGATCTGCCTCGAAATTCCAGACTCGGCTGGCTGTGTCAGGCTTTTAAGTACGGTGCACCGGGAAGGGAGCTAACATGTGCCAAGAGTGAGTGAGTGAGTGGCGTGGAGTGGAGTGGAGTGGAGTGAGTAAGCGACCTCTGCGGGAGCAGGCCATGCCCAAGGCGCCATCCCTCCCGGCTTCACAGGGGGCTCCAGCACGACAACTCCGACATGGCCAGATGTCAACCAGAACGTTGCGAAGATTGCTCACGCGCAAAAGTTCGGGTTCGCCGAGCATGACAGCTGCAAAACAAATTGTTCGCAACTCGTGCACTGACGAGTTCATGCATCATGAAAACTTGCATGTTGAGCTTGATGTCCTGCCTGCCATGCATTGTCCGGATCCACATTGAGATGCGACAAGTATGCCTGCCTCAATTAAAGAAAAAGTTTAAGGTTGACCTTCGCTTTCATCTGCAGCATGGAATGTCATGGGGCAGCGAAACATGATGAAACATGTTTGGATTGATCGAATTCCCAAGATGTCTTAATGCTCCACGCTGCAGGTGCTCATCTTGCATGAAGTTCTCGAACTCCTTGCAACAGGCTGAATTCATCGTAGGAAAATGGAAATCACGTTTATGACAGGAGCCAAGTAGCTGCGAACGTTACATGCCACACATACATGATCTCGAGCTCTAGACTTGCCGGCGAGGCGCTGTGTAGGAGATTTCTCCGCTTTCATCACAGTCACCTTCTTCGAAGATCTGCCTGCTACGAGACATCCAAAAAAGAAAACACCTTAAAAGAGATCATGGAAGATGACGCCAGCGGCTAGCGAAACACTGACAAGAAACCGCGCTGTCGAATCATGTCACATTGCTAACGCAGCTGCACCACGTACGAGTACGAATTGGCCAAGCCAATGTCCCGTGCCCTGGAAGGCGATTGATGGCCCAGCTCCCCATCAGACCGGATTCAAGTTGCCGATTCTCGCTTGTCGTATCCAGCGGAACACGGCGGCGGATGATGCATCAGAGCTTACACACTGCACTTTGGGACCGCTGCCTGAAGTGCTCCAAATACCTTGTCTCCACCAGCACAAGTTTCGTCATCTCTCATACATCCGAAAGCTGATGCGGGCTCTAGATCCCGACGATCTGCTCAAAACAAATAAAACTCATAAGACATAAGACTATGCAAGCCGAAGCACTGATTCTTCCTCCGAAGTTGCTCCTGCGCACATCACAGTTGAGTAGCAAAAATATTTCGCCCGGCACGTTGTACTTCTAGTTTGTTGCTTGTCGGTGACATGTTGATTTTCACGAGATGTGCAGATGTGCATGTGACAGGCCTGAACTACTGCAGCAGCAAACAATGAACGGTCCCACATCCCATATACACCAATGCGCGTCAGAAGCAAAGGGCGCACCTGGATCAACGAATCTTTCTCGGAACGGGCCATCTCGAAAGCGTGCTCGCAGAAAAAACCTGTGACCACCTCGGCAGAAGAAAAAGTTGACGAAGGCACCCACTCCATCAAGCTCAAAGCTTGAGGGGGGCAGCCGCCAGTTGGTGCAGCAACCATGTTGCTGCAAACACGTGAATCCACAGCAGTGGATGCACAAGCGCAAGCACTTGACTACAGCAGCAGAAGTAGTAGGCGGGACTAAACCCTAGCAACAGAACTGGACTAAAAGTGATGCACAAAAAGGCGCCCTAAACCGAGGCCCTAAACCGAAAAGCAAAGAAACCTGAAAAGGAATCAGGAAAAGACGGAGAAAAGAGCACGGTGCTAGCACCACCTCTCTTGCAGAATGCGTTTTCTGCAAAATGCTTGCCAGGTCAGAACCTGGATATCATAGGCATCTGGAGGCTTCCTCCGTGGCCATCCCAAGCGCCTTTGAAGCGGGCAATCAGGGCACAGAGGAGGTCTACTGCCATCCTCCCAGCGACGCTGGAAACATGACCAAACGACATGTTGCAGATCGGCACCTTCCTGAGAGCAGAAAGGGCAGGTAAAAACAGGGGCAGGAGTTTTGCGCTTCGAACGTCGAGGCCGAGGATCGCGCATCATCACCCGAAGCTTAGCGGGAGAAACATTTGCCCCCACTAGTACAGCAGTAGTATCTAAGGATTTAAGAGCCAGACTGCGAGCAGCAGCACAGCGAACCTCAGAGTAAGGAACATTGCCAGCCAAGCG